CCCTTTCCAGATAAATGGAAAGATTACTTTCTCAGTAAATGCTGACAATAATATGTGGGTGTACAAATTACACTAGTGTTTCAAAAAATGAGACATCAAATTAGTTAAAACATTTAATAAACACTAACATTTATAACAATACTTTTTTCCCCTAAAATAATTGTATATGCAAGTTTTGCACCAGAGCAAATGCTATGCTAACATTTGAGAGGATTTTTCTCACCAAATTGTTGTCAGTAACCCTATCTTGAACACAAAATGTTTGCGTAGAAATAGCCTGGACAAGTAGAAATTGTCGAAACAAGCTTAACATACTACAAATGTCTTGAAATAAAATTAAACATAATTGTAACCCATTAAAGACATTGCGTTACCGTCACCCTTTTCAGAAAACAACTTCCAATGTTCTCCAAGAATACATTAGGAGTAACACTTCAGTAATGGTTAGACTGGGCATCCACAAAATGTCAACATTCATCATTGAACACAAGGTATCCAAACTCAAAGCATTACAAAGACTAATACTGTACATTTAAATATAGGCGATATATACTCATACTAAAAAAAGTTATTGCAAGCCAACTATCATCACACAATAGCAATTCTAGTCATGATTACACTTGAAACAATAAGTTACAAATTCATAAATGTAATTAAAGTTGTTTGGTTGAACAAATGAAATGATGCACACGATTAGTAGAGAATAGTCATACATGTACATAATAACATCTAATATATTGTCTTGCAGAGAAAGACTGGGTCACGTAGAATTTGTATAATTCAATAAAATAACTACCATTACCAACAATTAGTATTTGGGTTATTTTTATGTTCACAGATAATCATGCACCAAGCGCAGAGGACATCGCCATGCATGTGCGCGATTTATGTTGATATAAGCAGTGATTTCTCCCAAAGTTCAAAGCATTCTTCTAGTGGTAAACATGAATTTTGGCTTCAATCTGGTGGTAGTGCGACTTTGAAACAATTGATGCACTCAAATTATCTTTGAAATCACCTAAACCATTGGTAATGTCACATTGTACAAGTTGATCACTACAATGATCAAAGTTGCCATCATAATGTGGGTTTCATATCTCACACATGTCAAGCACGACATCCAGGCTTTTTCAATACAGTCAACAAAAATGTGAAACAACTATAAGATTGCTTCCAGATCACCTGCAAAATGCCTAAGATTTTTCACAAAATTAAAGTAAATTAACAGTATTTAAGGTAGCGGGACTATTATTTGCATACTTGTTTTCATCTTCTAATTGTGACTAAATGACTACAAATAGACCCGGGAAAGTATATATTTTTAGAATCGCCAGACTTCAAGCTTTTCACAAGTGTATTTTGCATGCCCGTATCTGCATTCTACGACGCGTTACTCAATCAAAGGTGAAAAATTACTTTTTCTGTAAGAAAAATAATTACGCATTTATGCTGGCGGTAAGAAGTATTTTTTTCACTTTTCCTAGTT